CCCCCGCTCCGAGGGCGGGCAGCCAGTCCTGCCCCCCGCGGCGCTCAGACGACGAACTCGGGGACTTCGTCGTGGGTGAGATCCAAGGAGAAGTATTTGCTGGTTCTTTTGACGGGGAAGGTCTCCTGGATGTTGATGCACTGCTGGGCCAAGCAGCCGTTGCAGTAGAGCCCTTCCTCCTCCAGCCCGTGGGCGCAGCCGAAGGTGTAGCTCTGGGCCGTATCCTGGCAGAGGTTGGCCAGCTGCAAGAAGTCCTTCTGGTAGAGCCGAATGTCATCCAGGCTCAGGCTGTGCCGGTCCGTCGATGTCTTCGGTTTCCTGCACGTCGTCTGGGCGAAGCACAGAAGGGACCTCAGGACCCGCCGGGAAGCCAAGGGGGTTGGGGAAACCCAAAAGCCTGGTGTCACCAAACCCGTCCCACCAGCACCACGTACCTGGGGTAAGGAGTCGGTGCTCTGTCCCCGCAGCTTCACCACCGTCTCCGAGGAGCTGGAGGTGGAAGAGCTGATCTCTTTCACGATAAGTCCTGCGCGGGGGAGAGAGGAAGAGGAGGGCGCGAAGGTTATTTCGAGGCTTCGAGGCTCTCTTGGGACCTGTGCCCGCTGCCCTCGGGGGCTTGCCCTTGCTTCAGGGCCCCAATGGCTCTGCTTGCAACCAGCACTCCCTACAACGCATCCCAAATTTGCACCGAAACGGCACCCAAAGCCATCCCCAGGGAGCCTGGCACCCCAGAGACTTCCCAGTAGCACCCAGCACGGAGCTGGAAGTGCAGGTGACTCTGGGTGCTGGCACAGTTCCGGAGAAGTCAGGCTCACACATGTGATAACAGCACCCGTGCTCAGGCAAACAAGCAAGGGAGGTTCTCATGGAAATGAGAGCGGGGGCCAGCAAGTGAGAACATTGCTGAAACTACGTCTGTTGCCCGTGGGCAGCTCCTGCCGTCGTCCCCTGGTATCTCCAAATAACCCGGTGTCCTTGGGCACACCCCCCCGTGCTACAGGGTGGCCGCACGGAGCATCGGTCCTGCTCAGAGTAAAACCTGCACCTCGCCTGGGAAACCCCTTCTTTTTATAGTTTCACCAAATTTACCCCATCTCTCCTTCGACCCGCTGAGTAAACGGCTGTTCCCCGCATCCCAAATGGACACCTTGGGCTAATTCTGCTCCGCCGAACACCAAAGCCGTGACTTACATTGAGGAACTGGAATTAAAAGCGGCCGCCGCCTTACCCGAGTGCCCGTTGAACTTGCGCGACAGCAGCATGTCCTCCGTGATGTAGACGCACATGTCGGGGCTCACCTCCATCTCGCCAGCCTGCTCCAGCTCCCGGGGGTCATCCACCAGCATCTCGATTTCTGCAGGTGAGGAGGAGGTGGGACGAGTCATTGACGTGCACCTTCAGAGCACCCTCCGACCCAGTTCCCCGGCGAGACCCAAGCCGAAAAGCTCGTGCTCGGGGCAGCTGGTG